ATGTAAATTGAGCCTTTTAAGGCCCACAATATCTTCGCTTAATCTTCTATCAGTGGAGTCAACGTCCAGCAAGACTCCTTTATATAGTCTGTAATCTTGCGGCAATAGCCTTGTAACAGTGCTAGTTTTATTGCTATGATGTATAGTAAGTGTGGCTTCAGGGTGAAATAAATCTGTATTGGGTTCAAGATGGATATTAAATGTTCTATTGAATGCGACGAATTTTAATCGAAGGGAGTCGTCGTGCCGCAATGAAGTGTCAATTTCCAAATCTCTACGACTTAGTGACGTAGTATCAAATCTATTCCTATATAATATTTCTATACAAGGGTTACCAACGAACTCTAAATATGCTATAGGCATAGACGCATGGCTAGAGGCTGATTACATATGAAAAGATATTGAGTTAGTGAAGTCATTTTAGCAAAGACTAAGTTAACAAAGACATTGAGTGGCAAAAGAGTCAGTCATTTGTGACCGAGTTTCCTCAAACAAGTTATATACCTTTGACACAATGTATTATTGCAAGCAACGAAACGAAAAAATAAAAGAGTAAGCGAGACGAGGAGGTAGTTACCTCCATGTTTATTAATAATAAATAAGAAAATTTATGATATAAACTGGTTCATATATAATAAATAATGAACGAAATTCTCGACAGAGAAGTTGGTTATATAGAATATTACCACTTACAGACAAGACGAAGATATTATTAATTATTAAAACTATACTCTGAGGAGAAATGGTTCCGATAAATTGCAATTAATAGGATTAATACATAGTTAGTCACACAGATAAAATAATGTTTGAATAAAAGGCTCGCTTCTATTTTTGTACCAAATTTTTTAAATATAATCAATGCAATAGTCTTTTCTGGAAGCATTAGTAAATAACTCTATAAAAAGCTAATTTAATTATATTATTACAGGTATGTCAGGTATGTCACGTTGGTTGGTATGACATATAGATATTATATACTTTATTTTTGTACTTTTGCGTTCAATGAACTTCAGTGTACTCGTATATTTACTGTACGTACCGTATTTGAGTAATATAAATTATATATAGTGATTCTGGGGCTCTGTATATTATTATTTTGTTATTGGGGGTACAGGTAAAAACAAATTAGGTCCTAAAATTAAGAAACATATCATTATTTTATTTGCTAAAAAGGAAGTCGGCCTATGCTTTACTTCCTTTTAGGCTACATAAGGGTCCGTCAAATCTCATCAAATCGTTTATATTACAATAACAAGTGGCAAAGTGCTGAAGTGTTAGAAATTTTTTGTTTATTATTAATAAACTTGAAAATGATTGGTAAATTTTAATAAAATCACGTCCATTAGGTATCACATACGTATATAAATAGTATTTTAAAAGTGTTTTAAAGGCTAATTGTCACGCAGGGCATAAGGACACTCGGCATTGTATGCAGTAGTACAAAAAGTATGTGATATTTTAGTAGATAATGGGAGAAGTATAGTGACAATACTGCAATATATGTGACTATATCATGTGATCATGTGGCCTTATTAATTACTCTTTTGATATGATCTCACGTTTGTTTACTTATTAGTCCCCCCTGACTTTCTCCACGACTGCAGCTACTAAAGGCACTAAATTAATCAAAGAAAGCTGACCATATTAACAGTTTGTCAGTATTTCTTATTTATTGCTGCTTGCTCGCTGTTTTTCTTTATATATTAAAGGTAATT